AGACATACCTGATACCCCAAGGGCCTTTGAACATCTTGTTGGGGTTAGGAGAAAAAAAAAACACTGAAAAATAAATCTAACACAGATGACAGGTCATTTTTCCCCATACCTCAATAACATAGATGACATATTTGACACTCTTCATTGTGCCATTGACAACCTCCTCTCTTCCAATGATATTTGCTCTGATGACGGCAAAAACGAAAAACAAAAAAATATAAAGTAACCTTCTTACAGATTCCAGGTAAAAGCATTAAACTTACCAATGTCTGAGCTGCAAATAGCCTGCTGAGGATCGCTCTGCATACAGGTGCAGGCTTCTGCACCTTCCTCCACTTGCCAAATAAAGATGGCCAGAGTTCCATTATGCTTCAGAACGTGGTTGAGATCAGAATTCAAAATGGCAGCTACTCCCTAGAAACTGAGTGAGTAAAACTCTACTTTAACTTTTATTTCAGATTTAGTCAGTCGTACTCTTGGTTCATTTTAATATTTAAAGGGGACCTGTTAAAACACCGTTTAGTCAAAGTTTAACTTGAAACGTCAAAGTAAATTACAACTGGCCTATGGGGGCCACCATAATGCTCATGTGGCCCTCGGTGAAAATGATTTTAACAACCCAAGTTTAAATAGTAAAAATCATCCTTATACCTGCACAAATCACAGATGAACTAATGTCAGGTTATTACAAATTTACATACATACTGGGGGACGCATGTCACTTTATTTTGTCAATAATCACCTGCAATACCAACATAATCCATATACCTCAATATCCATAGTGTTCAGCATTAAACAATGTGCAATAATGATGTTCTACCTTAGTTTTACATTTACAATTGACTCTCATTGTGCTCTTTATATGATACACACATACAGATGTATATGGGCATATTTTAACACATTTTATTCTGTATTTGCACTGCAGGGGGAGTGGCTCTAATCTTCTTCCTCACGCCTGTATTGACAAGGCATTTTATTCTCTTTTGCCAATACAATTAGTTTTCTCCCCACTCACTGTTCAATCACGGCCTCTCAGGAATATGCAGTTTTTGATAGCAGAGTTAATATTTTTGAAAACAAAACCTGCAATTTTAATCCCATCATGCACATGAGGACCAACATGGTTTGAAGAACGAAGAATATGCTTTACACTTTTTTATTTTAATATAGACCAGTTCAGAGACATTATGGATCTGTGTTCAGCTACAGTAGTGTTTGTAGTCCTCAACCATCTTCAGCAGCTTGGCACTCAAGTCTTCCCATGGCTGAACCAAATTACACGTGATGACATTCACAGTCCCATCAGGCTTCAGCCAGCCTACAGTTACAGAAAGCACAAACAAGCTGATAGAAAAAAAAAGGTAGAAAGAGTTGTACATTGTACCAGAAATGTCTACCTGCAATGAGATACTGTTCTCCAGTGATCAGAGTGACTCCACATAGTGAAGAGAACAGGGGAGTGTAGATGGCGTCAATATCCCTACTAGGGCCTTTGAACTTCTACCATAAGTCGAGAAGAAAAAAAATTACATAAAACCAATTCAATATCTGCAGAATTTTAAAAAAAGCCATTTTCCATACCTTGATCACGATGATGTTGTATTTAACATCCTTGGATGCACCATGGTCAACCTCCAGCCTTTCAGTAACTTTTGCCCTGATAACTTAAAAATGAAATTAAAAGACAAGTGTACAGTTTTAGCATGTTAAAGTTCACAGATGTTAAAGCTTAAAGACTTTTGTGCCAGGAAGACTGAGGAAACAA